ATTAGGTGCGCTGCGAGAACTTAGCGCACCTTTTTTTGAAAGTCTGTTTTTTTGTATTTAATGACCGGAATTATTGAAAATTGTTGCAAAGAGCTCTAGAACTTTTCAAGAGAGTATCAGAACTCTAAAAAAAATGTCACATTTTTAAATATGGTGTGCCAAGTTCACACAAGTCGCACTTTTATCGTTCACGATCTGTTCGGTCTCGAGACTTTTCGTTCGTTCGCGACGCAGCCGGCGCTTCTGCCTCGGCATAGTTTCTGAAAAGAGCCGGCGAAGTAATCGATACGCGTGCCATCGACTGCGCCCTTTTTGCGTTCCGCGCGACTTTTTTGCAACTGTTTGTTTCGGTTTCTTTCGTTGGCCGCGGGGGTGCAACAAGTGTTACGTTTCTCGTGTCTCCAGGCAAACGAGCGAGATACCGCGGCGGAAATCTACGAATAAATTTCCCACCCGCCGACCACGGGGTCTTCTTCCTCTTTCTCTTCCTCCTCCTCGTAGCCGTCACCGCGACGTTGCTCGAATTGATATCTACGGCTCATACCTCAGGATTATCCGACCGTCACCTTTGTTTCGCGTCGTGTCCGCGCAGGTAAGCTGATTTACAGACAGCGTGAGCTTTTGAAAAGAAGGAGAAGGATCTCGCGCCGCAGTTTAACCGCTTTATTAAAAATCCCCGTCGTTTCGGAGAGACGAGCGTTATTTGACATTCGACTCGGGCTCTCGCGAGCCGTCATTCTTACTCTCTTCCTGCCGAGATTGCGGTTCCTTTGTCATCGTCAGCTTGCCTCATGAGGCGCGAGGGAAGAGTTGATGACATGCAAAGTAGGAGATTCTTATTATCCTTGATAATATATCGGCGGAGCTAGCGTGCCGCGTGATATGAACTCTTCGTGAATACCTCGCGGTTCAAGAGCACCGCGGAGAATACAGTACTTAGGGCACCTCTTATCAGTAACACTTGCAACGACCGATATTTTGAGCGTGATAATGACGTCTAAACTGAGAGAAAAAGTATCCGAAAAATTCAATGTAAGTATTAATAACACATTTACTTTAATTTAAATTCTTTCTTTATAAGAAAGAAACAATTGCTTTCATAAAAATCAACGGTCTCAGAAAATCACATGTTTCATGTTCGAAAAAAATGTTCTCTTAATATAAAAATATATATATAATATAAGCATGTTATTAGTATCTATCAAATAAATATTTCTTATTTTTTACGTATTTTTTTCTCTCAGTGTAACTAAAAATGTGGGCAAAGATTATTCCCTTTAAAGTATAATCTGTGTATTCTTTACTAAAATGTGCTACAACTGATGATGGTTCAGTCGTAAAATTTTGCAAATAATTTTACAGTGATTTTTTTAGTGAAATCTTATTTCTGCTGATTAGTGAGATAGCAATGTTGCAGTGTTTCCACTGAAAAAATCAGTAAAACTGAGAAAGATATATTATCGGTGAAACACTTCTTTTACTAATTCCATCAGAAATTTTCATTTTAATTGTTTTACTTTAAGGGCGCATGAATAACGCTCGCGCCACAAATTAAATATTCAAGCAGCACGCGACGTTTTTCCATGTGAAATTGATTTCTACCTCGTAGAGGCGCGACAACGTAAATCACATATCACGGCGACGATTCCGCGAACAGCATTGATTGGGGCTTTTAGTCCATCGCGATATAAAACTATCCGGTGTAAATCAAGCGAACGCGCGCATTGGTTTGTGTCGTCGTCGTCGTCGCCGTCGTCCGCCCCCACGTCGTTCGCACGATATCGCGCTCGCGACATTTGCATCGTTAGCACAAGCGTCCCCGACAAAAAAAAAAGAGAGAGAGAGATCCCTCAAGTGGCAGCACACGTACTCGACGAACGCAATTTTCTTTTGTTTCCAGGCAGACCTATCCTGCAGGAACACGAAGCAGACCGTGGGCGCGATTTACACGCGCACCAACTTCGTGACGTTGAGATACGTCACCGACGCTTGGGGCACCAAAGAGAACGGCTTCCGCCTTGTCATCACCGCCGTCAAGGATCCTAGTGAGTGCTTGTAATATCGATGCCGTTTATCCGACTTATTCGCGGGACGATATACCATAAACTTATGAAATACTCGAGACAAGTAACGTTTGCTTGAATACAGTTTGCATTTTTCTACGTGTATCCCAAGTCGCCTAAAGAATTCCCCTTTCTCTCTCTCTCTTTCTCTGTATCTCTCACTTTATTTTCCAACCTAGCGTTACACAATTCAGTGCACTTAAAATAACCGCCGCGAGATTTAGCCATTCGTAGCATGCCCTCTCTTGGTACTTGAAAAACATATTTCCGCGGAAACAGCGCTCGGTCGCTTCACGTGGTGGAAACATCGAAGTTCTTTCTCCTCGCTATTCCCCATTCTCTCATTTCCTATCTCTCTTTCTCTCAGTCGCTTTTATGCTCCGGCAATTCTTTAATCCGCACTTGAAATTGTATCGCGGTCTCCGCAGCGAGCGCGACTCGGGATCCCCGTTTATCATTCAATCGCTTTTATTCATTAGCTCTCTCGGGCTATTAAATTTGCCTTTCAGATCTGGCTTCTTTAAATCGTGCCGTGTCAATTCCTCCTCCCCGTCGCCCGCGATCGCATTTTCCTACTCCTCTCTTCCTCAGCCGTCCTCGCCGTCCCTCTGTCCACGAAGCGACCGACTGCGGCCGCGTTTAATGCGCGATTTCGGAGCACAGTTCGCTTAACCGCGCGATGAACTTCCCGACACGGCCAATTAACATCGTGACGTTCTATTCGCGCGACGCCGCGCGCTCGTACCGCGATGCGAACGAATTCCGAAATTACAATCGAATCAGTCATTCGGTGAAACCGCATTAGTCCGCGTATCTGCAAGAGCATGCCGCGCCAAAGTACAATGCGACATTTATTTCGAGCGTATCTAAACCCTTTCCATTTTGTCGATCGATCCGTCGATCTATATAGTGAGATGTTTTATCGTGTGGAGAGAAAAGAGATGCGGGACGATATCAAATGTTAAAGTAAGGTAACGTTGCGTCGGGCACTCGTTAGAACGCGAGAGGATCCGAAAATGAGAAAAATGTAACTTTATAATAGGAGAGAACATTACCTTCGCTCTTTTATCCTCCTTTCCTTTCTCTCTCTCGTAAAAACGCAGGTAACGCGAGAAACGTCCCTTACCGGCGATATTTTCTCTCTCCCTCTCTCAAATTTCATCATGCGTTACTAATGAGCGGTTTTACAAATAATCTATTGAATCAGGAGCTCGTTACAATTGCAAAAAAGAGACAATGACCGCGGCTTTGTCACAGAGTCAGCTCCATAAAATACGCGCGCAAGACAAACAACGCGCGTAATTGGTCGATTTAACGAGCTATTTTTGCGTTTCACGCTAGTATGGCGAAACACGCGTTGCCCCGGCGCCGCTTTTACAGCGGGGACCGTGACGCGTGGTGAAAAACTCGCCGATAAATATTGAATAAAATCTGTAATTGAAATCGGCGGTGGTGCGGTAAGTGACATCGTTATTGACGCGTCGCGCGGTCGACGTCGCTTCGAATTTTTAATTCGGCCGAGCGAGCGCTCGCGGGTCGATTTAATTCGCCGATCGTCGACCGATCGTCGTTTTCGCGATTCCGCGCGATGACCTGCGACGAGAACGCGTTTCTCCCGGCCCGGCGCGCGTCGATCCGCGGATTTCGATTAACTCCGCGAAAGATGAATTAACGATTGTGTATCCGATACCAATACGCGCCCGATGTGTACAGGGTTTTTAAATTACAGATGAGAATTCAGCTAACATCTATGCGCACCGTATCATTCCCGCGAAATGTTGAATCCCGAGAATCGAATAAATTTTCGGGAATACCGGAATCGGAGGGAAGCTCCCGTTACTTTACATCTCTTTTCTAATTGCAGTCTTTATATTCTCCGAATTTCTCGGAGTGGAATCTTACTCAAAACGAATGAAAAGTGGCAGTATTTTCATAATAGTGACAATAGAATGTCTGTCTATTTTCTATATACTTTTAAATCTTTTGATCGATCTAAACCAAAAAAAAATCAAGGTCTCATAAACTTTCAGTCCCATTTTCTGGTATTCAAAATTTTGAATTATTTTTTCATAAAACTGCAACTATTGATGGGTAGCTTAAAGATATAATTAAATTAAAGATACCCAAAATATATATGGTGAGGCGCATTTCTTTGATACTCATATATCATTAATCTATGTATCATCGATATATCATCAATATCTACAATTTTATGATATGAGACACTCTCTGTAAGTGTAGACGAAAATTAATATCGAGAAAGTAGAGTTGTTGTCTCGTTCGTTCTTTAATCAGCTCGTTATAGGCGACACGTGTGATTCCTCGAGAACTCGACTTTCCACTTGATTACACGTTCCGGTGTTGCGAAGCGCCGATCAGCGATCAGTGTTCGACGTGTTAATGAAAAGGGACGATCACTCGTGCGATTTTTCATCACACAAGAGGGTACGCACGGAATCGCGACGGCGATGAATGCCGGTCTCGTCGCCTCGTCGACGATTCCGTCGGGGCGGACTTCCAAGTCGGACAAAAAAACGTTAATAACACGGGCTCGCATTGAAATGAGGTGCGCGCCTGTTTCTGCTTAATATCGAAAGAGAGAGAGAGAGAGGGAAAAAACGCACGGCATTGCTCTCCCCGCGAAGAATCGTTATCTCACTTGGGCGCTTGGGCGCGGGCGCGAGATCCGGCGGTAATATCTCCGCGTAATAAGGTCCCTGAGAAATGAACACCGGGGACAAATGCAGCCGCTATATTTTTATCTCGCCCGGCTGACGGGTGAGTCGGAATCTCCCGATAAAATGGATAGCTGCGCCACGCCATTCTACGATGATTACACTCTGATTGAAACGAAATGCGCGCATGCGCGCAGTTACGCGAAAGTACGGGTTCAACGTACCGATAATGCGACAACGCGACACTGCGTGCGCGCTACTCGCGATAATGGTCCTCGTATCATTTTCTACGCCGAGCCTTGTCACGCGCGATATTTTCAATCAATGCCGAGTAAATTGGGAAACTGCGCGCACATCTCCCGTAAGAAGACGCGAATAACGGGGCGCGAGACGTTCGAGCGATGACAACGTCGTCGTCGTCTCTCTCTCGTCGACACGACGATGGCAATAACAGTGAACGTGGAGGAAGAACGTTAATCCCAACCACTATGACTTTCCCGTCTCTCAGCGAGTCCCGAGATTCGCATCGCGGGTGACTGAAAGAGGAAGTGAGAGACACAGAGAGAGAGAGAGAGAGAGAGAGAGAGAGAGAGAGAGAGAAAGAGAGAGAGAGTCTTCGCGAAGTAGCTACTCCCGGTCTCGAGACTCGACAGGTGTCGAACTTTGGCTCTCGTCTGCCGAACAATTTCCTCAAGTTGTAATCTTCCGGTGGTTATAAGGGCCACTTGTAGAAGATAATCCGAGAGAGTTAATGTAAGTTAGTTCGGAACTAAACAAGACGCGAAATCTCGAACGCGTTCGATCATTGTATGTTGTTCTTCGACTATCTGTGTCGCCAAACGCGAAGCGACCATCTATCTCGAAAAGACCACCAGTAAGCCAACTATCCAGCCAATCAGCCAGCTATCTTCCCTGCACTCCAATCCAACTTTCGCAATTTCCACGGTATGCACAATTTCGCAACTTAATCGACGCGGCGGAATCGTCCGTGCGCGCGCAGTAAACGTTCTCGCGAATGCGACCGTAAAAAGCGAGTGTCCTCGCTACGAGAACAAGCCAAAGACGTCATCGTCTCGCGCCAACGCGGCCGCAAACGACTCGAGTATTCCCCAGACCATCAGCCGGGGAAAGACAATTCGCCCATCTCGGGCAAGTCGTCGACGATCATCGTCGTCATCGTCGCGCTGCCGTCGCCGCGGGAAATTCCGCGTAGCTAAACACATGCGCCCGCCTCGTTATTGGGCGCGAGCCCCTCGGTTCAGCAGCGACACGGCTCGTACCGACTCGTCACACCAATTTGCCGTAATTATGCAGAACGCGAACCGCGAACCACGCACTACCATCCACGTCCACCTTCCTCGACTCTGCGCATCCGTTCCCTCTGGTCGCCCTCCCCCGTCCTTTCGCGTGGCTTGGTCCTTTTTAATGCGCCGCTGTGCGTCCCGCGACCGCTCGTAGGTCGCCGTGGTAATTATTGCGTGGTCGCGAGAGATCTGCGCTCTTCCCTTTTTGCACGACGCTAATTACCCCGCGTGATTAATTGATAGGCGACGAGGGCTGACGTTGGCGGCTTAACGTGCGGCAATGGGCGACGCGCACACCCTTTCCGCTCCTGCGGGCCAGAAAGGACCCTCGATGCGCGCGCCCGCGATACGGCGACAGGAAATACATTTCACGCGCGATCCGCTTTTCACGCTTTTCGTTACAAAAACGCGACATCTCGACGTGACGTTACACGGGCCTTCCCTTTTACTCACGCAGATTTATGCCCCCGTTCAGGCCGCGTCACACGTCCCGCTCTCTCTCATCTCAATTCTTTTTTTTTTCGCAAAATTACCTCTCACGTGTCGTGGCATATTTTATCGCGATAGTACCGCTTTAAACTGAATCTCTCGTGTCCCGTTTCTCTCCTTCGTGTGTCATGCGCGACGCTGGGATACGTTTAAAAATTTCTTAACGCCGTGCCCAGATAAACGTAACCATCTCTCTAAAGTTAGCAGAACCAAATCAACAGAATTAAAACCTATTATCTACTATTATTTAATATCTATTTTGCACCAATTTCTACCACCAATAAAAGTCACCTCGAACCGTTTTGGAAAGAAAGTCACGTTGCTGACTCAATATTAAGTTAACAGGATCACAAAAAAAGAGAGAGGAGGAAAAAAGAGAGAAACAAGTATATCAACAGAAAGATCCGAATTTGTACCACTAAAAAAAGAAATATTGTATTTTGCGCCAATAAAGTTGCAACGCTTCAAGTTGTCGGAATTGACAGCCGCTGCAGACGCGTATAATCGGTTAGGA